GCTGCCGCTGCCTCCCTTCTCGCACGAGCTGGTCCCCGTTGCAAAGTAGCTGACGCTGTTGCTCCTGCTGGCCATTTGGCACCGATAGCCGCTGCTGCCACTGCGCACCTTCTCGCACCAACTGACCCTGCTGCCAATGGGTGCCTTTTCGCACAAGCTGAGCCCCGCTAGCTGAAGATTTTGCTCCTGCTGGCCATTCGGCACCGACAACAGCTGCTGCCACTGCATTCATTCTCGCACGAGCCGACCCGCGCTGCAATGTAGCTGACGCTGTTGCTCCTTCGTGGCTGCTTTGTCGCATTCTCGCGTTGACAGTCCCTGCGGCCATTGCGTGCCTTCTCGCAGTGCTCCTCGGTTGGGCGCCTCCAGCGCGAATTGGCCCCAACACTATATCTGATGACGTTGGTTCGCGCGTTCTCGCCGCACGGACCGCTCCCACAGCTGTAGTCGATGCCGCTGCTGATCTTGACTGGCCCCTGCTCGCCTGTTTTCGCATGCGCCACTCTCAACATTGTAGCTGTTGACGTGCTGCTCCTGCAGTCTGGCAGCGGCGCCGCTTCATTCCCTCCCCGCCATCACCCCCCTCCTGGACTTCCCGTTCCCTCGCTCGTTACTCTTGGCCCAGAAAGGGAGGGGCCCCGCTCCCCCGTCGTCCTGCTGGCTGCGGCCCCCCAAGTGGCGGACCCCCTGCCGTGCCCCTCTCCAGACTGGTCGCCCGAAGACGACCACGAGCGGCGGCGCCTGTTGTAGCTTCTTCATGCTTGCCCTGCAGTCTGGCAGCGGCGCCGCCACTGGCGCCGCGGCTCGCCGAGAGGGCGGAGGAGGGGCGGGGGGGAAGAGGAGAAACGAGGAGGGGCACGGAGTGTGCCACGCCTGAGGAGGAGGACGAGGAGGAGGACGAGGAGGAGGACGAGGAGGAGGAGGAGGAGGAGGAGGAGGAGCGAGTCGGAGCGAGGAATGAGCGAGTAGGAGGAGGATGAGGAGGAGGAAGGAGGAGGAAGAGGAGGAGAAGGAGAAGGAGGAGAAACGGCTGGTGCGCACGCGACTGATCTCGGCCTCGTGGCAGATGGCGAGGGGCGCCACGCTTCGTGACGTCGGCTCTCGCGAGCAGGGCAATCTCGAAATCTGCCCGCGAAACATCCTTGCGCGCCCCGTGCAGGGGGGGGGGGGTCGGACGCGAAATGGCTAGGAAGAAGAGGAAACTGAGGAAGAGGCGAGGAGGGAAGGGGATACTGGGAGGGAGGGGGAAGAAAGGAGGGAGGGAGGGAGGGAGGGGATGACGATGATAATGTTGTTGATGCTGATGGTGATATGGCTGATGATGCTGATGATGTTAGTGATGATGTTGATGATGATGACTACGATGATGGTGATGCTGATTATGATGGTGTTGCTGATGATGACGATGATGACAATGGTGATGATGGTGGTGATGGTAATGATGGTCATTCTGATAAGGGTGATGATGGTGCTGATGACGGTGATGGTGATGATGATGATGTTGATGATGACGATGCCGATGGTGATGGCGATGAGGAGGATGGGGATGCTTGTATTGATGAGGATGATAAAGGTGGTGATCATGATGCTGCTGATGCCGCGTTTGTTGATGTTGACGGTGGTGATGGTGATGGTGATGATGATGATGATGCTGCTGATGATGCTGATGATGCTGATGCTGCTGCTGCTGATGCTGATGATGATGATGATGATGATGCTGAGGACGCTGATGATGACGATGATGATGCCGATGGTGATGATGATTATGATGATGCTAATGCTGATGATGATGATGACGATGATGATGCCGATGGTGATGATGATTATGATGATGCTAATGCTGATGATGATGATGCTGACGATTATGATGATGCTGATGATGATACTGATGATGATGATGATGACGATGATGATGCTCATGATGATGGTATAATGCTGTTGAAGATGAGGATGCTGCTGCTGTTGCTGCTGCTGCTGATGATGATGAGGATGAGGATGAGGATCATGATGATGATGATGATGATGATGATGATGATGGTGATGGTGATGGTGATGGTGATGATGATGATGATGATGATGATGTTGATGATGATGATGATGATGATGATGATGATGATGATGATGATGATGATGATGATGATGATGATGATGATGATGATGATGATGATGATGATGATGATGATGATGATGATGATGATGATGATGATGATGATGATGATGATGATGATGATGATGATGATGATGATGATGATGATGATGATGATGATGATGATGATGATGATGATGATGATGATGATGATGATGATGATGATGATGATGATGATGATGATGATGATGATGATGATGATGATGATGATGATGGTGGTGGTGGTGGTGGTGGGGGTGGTGGTGATTGTGATGACGATCAAACATTGAATGAGGAGGTATTTGTGTCTGTCTGTCTGTCTGTGTCTGTCTGTCTGTCTGTCAGTCAGTCTGTCTGTGTGTCTGTCTGTCTGTCTGTCTGTCTGTCTGTCTGTCTGTCTGTCTGTCTGTCTGTCTGTCTGTCTGTCTGTCTGGCGAGCTGGGCTGGCGAGCAGGCTCGGGGCGGCGTGGGCTACGCGACGGCCGCTGGCCTGGGCGCGCGCTGCCGGGCAGCGCAGCGCGCGCGGGCTTTCCGTGAGCCAGCGCCGAGGGGCTTGCCGGGCGGCGCGGCGCAACGCGCGGCGGGCCTGCCTGGCGGCGCTGCAGCGCGACGGGGCTCGGCGGGCCTTCTGCCCGGCAGCCTCGCTCTTCCCTTTCCTCTTCTCCCTCCGCTTTTCGGCCCCGGACAGCGGCGCGCTCCTCCGCGTCATGGACCTCGTTCCCCAGGCGCGGCTGGGGCGCGCCCTTGAGGCGTGGCTGGGTGGCGCTCCAACGACGTGGCAGCCCGAGAGAGAGAGTCTGTCTGTCTGTCTGTCTGTCTGTCTGTCTGTCTGTCTGTCTGTCTGCCTGCCTGCCTGCCTGCCTGCCTGCCTTCCTGCCTGTCTGTCTGTCTGTCTGTCTGTCTGTCTGTCTGTCTGTCTGTACATCTGTATGCATGTATGTATGTATGCATGCATGCATACATGCATGCATGTATGTATGTATGTAGGTAGGTAGGTAGGTAGGTAGGTAGGTACGTAGGTAGGTCGGACAGCCCCCGAGGGGAATACCCTCGCAATATGACGCGGGCGCTGAGCGGCAGCGCCCGCGGGGACCTGGCCACCGCGTGAGGTGCCACGTCCCTGACCGTGTCGTCGGACTTCATGTGCTTGCCGAAGACGAACATCGTGGCAGGGGAGGGGGGAAACGCGGCAGGCGGCCTCCCCCGTCGCGGGGGACAGGGCGTCATGGCCGACCCCTCCGCTGCCTCCCCTTCCCTGCGCTGGGCCTGCGGCGGTGCGCCGGCTGCTCCGCGATCTCCTGCTCCTCGAGCTCCGCCAAGCGCGTTTTCAGCCGCCCGAGCTCCTGCACGGCCGCACTGCGTGCCATATCATTGGCTCCGCTGGCCGTATACGCCGCAACAGCGGCGCGAGCGGCCGCCGCGAGCTCCGCAGAAGTATCCCCAGCATCCGCGGGCGGCGCGGCCACCGCGACGGCGGCCTCCGCGGACGGCGGGGCGAGACTCGCGCCATCTGCTCCAGTCGCCGACCACCCGCCGCAGGCGCCGCCGTCGCTGCACTGCCATCGTCGCCACCTTTCAGCGCTGCTTGCTCCAGCAGGGCCTCCCGCAGCAACACGCGCCCCAGCGGGACGCAGCCTGCGCCTCTTTGGCGCGGCCTCGTCAGCCCAGGCGTCGTCGAACCCGACGTCGTCGTCGCAGCCTCCGCCGACGTCCATGTTGAGGACGCCACCGGCAACGGGGGGCGCAGCTGGCGGCACCGGGGGGGCCACTGACATCCGCCACGGCTGCGTCCTCCATCGCTGCAGCTTCCCCCTCGCTCCAGTGCGCGCCGCCCTGCACGCCTCTGACGGCGCGCGCGTCGCCGCTCACGCAGCGCCTCCGAGGAAGCGCGAAGGGCAGCGTCGGCAGGCCCCCCAGAGCGCAACCCGTCGCCCACATCGGCAGGCTCCCGCGGAGTCGGCCGCGCCGCGAAGGTGGCGGCCGACACGGCGGAGCGAGCCACGGCGGCGACAGTGCGGCGCGGCGCGCCGCCGTCCACGGCCCCGCGGACCGCTGCAGCCACGAGGGCCGCCCAGTCCACAGGCGCCGCGCGAGCCCCTTTGGGCAGCGCCATCCCACGGTCCCGCAGGGAGAGGAATGGGGCGCGGCCGTGCGATCGCTTGAGCCAAAATGGCTACGGAGGAGGAAAAAGAGGAGGAGGAAGAGGAGGAGGAGGAGGAGGAGGAGGAGGAGGAGGAGGAGGCGGAGGAGGAGGAGGAGGAGGGAGGAGGGGAGGAGGAGGAGGAGGAGGAGGAGGAGGAGGAGGAGGAGGAGGAGGAGGAGGAGGAGGAGGAGGAGGAGGAGGAGGAGGAGGAGGAGGAGGAGGAGGAGGAGGAGGAGGAGGAGGAGGAGGAGGAGGAGGAGGAGGAGGAGGAGGAGGAGGAGGAGGAGGAGGAGAGGAGGGAGGAGGAGGAGGAGGAGGAGGAGGAGGAGGATGAGGAGGAGGAGGAGGAGGAGGAGGAGGAGGAGGAGGAGGAGGAGGAGGAGGAGAGGAGGAGGAGAGAGGAGGAGGAGGAGGAGGCGGAGGAGGAGGAGGAGGAGGAGGAGGAGGGAGGAGGAGGAGGAGGAGGGGAGGGGGAGGAGGAGGAGGAGAAGGAGGAGGAGGAGAGGAGGAGCAGGAGGAGGAGGAGGGGGAGGAGGAAGAGGAGGGAGGAGGAGGAGGAGAGGAGGTAGGAGGAGGAGGAGGAGGAGGAGGAGGGAAGATGAAGTAGCTGCGCTAGCACACCACCCGTGGAGTGGACACGATGAAGGAGCAGAGCTGCGCTAGCCAGCAGCTCAGCAGCTCAGCAGCAGCACCACCACCAGTAGCCCCAGCAACAGCTCAGTAGCAGCAGCAGCCGCCTTGACTCGAGGTGCCGCGCGCTCCGATCCCGCGGCTCGGCGCCGCAGTCGGACGGGCGCGCCGCGAATGAAGCCGCCCTGCTCCGTGGGAAGGTCATTTCCGAAAGAGCGTGTTCTACCGCTGCTGGCGGAAAACCGAGGGGGGTCACTGGGGGTTCCCAACCCGTCCCCCCCCCCCACACCCTCGAAACCTGGGGAGGGGGGGGTCACTACTGGTTCGAACCCCCCCCCACAGTCCATCATGAAAAGGGGGGGGTACTACTGGTTCGAGACCCCCCACCTCGAAAACTGGAGGGGGTCACTACCGGTTCAAGCCCCCCCCCTCGAAAAACGGGGGGAGTCACTACCAGTTCGAAACCCCCCCGCCCCCCCCCTTGCCGCCGGCAAACGCTTCCCGCTCCTCGGGACAGTTGGACAATGGTGGGGATGCTGGGCCAGTGGTGGGAACGGTGGTGGTGGGGACACTGGTGCGGGGACAGTGGGACAGTGGTGCGGACAGTGGTGGGGACGGTGGTGGTGGGGACAGTGGTGAGGGGACAGCGGGACTGGTGGGGACAGTGGGACAATGGTGTGGACGGTAGTGGTGGGGACAGTGGTGAAGGCGGTGGTGAGGACAGTGGTGGGACAGTAGTACAGTGGGGAAAGTGGTGGGGACAGTGGAGACAGTGGGACAGTGATGGGGACAGTGGGGGCGGTGGGACAGCACAGTGGGACAGCGGCGGGGACAGTGGGACAGTGGTGGGTACACGGTAACAGCGGGGACAATGGTGGGAACAGTGGGACAGTGGTGGGGACGGTGGTGGTGGGGCCAGTGGTATGAGGACAGTGGGAATGTGGTGGAAACAGTGGGACAGTGGAGGGTACAGTGGTGGTGGGGACAATGGGGAGGGCGGTGGCGAGGACGGCGGTGGGAAAATGGGATAAAGGTGCAGTGGGGAAAGTGGTGGGGACAGTGGGGACAGTGGGACAGTGATGGGGACAGTGGGGGCGGTGGGACAGCACAGTGGGACAGCGGCGGGGACAGTGGGACAGTGGTGGGTACAGTGGGGACAGTGGGACAGTGGCGGGGACCGTGGAGAAAGTGGGGAGAGTGGGGGCACTGGTGGGGACAGCGGGGACATGGTGGGAACAGTGGGACAGTGGTGGGGACTCTGGTGGTGGGGACAGTGGTATGAGGACAGTGGGAATGTGGTAGAAACAGTGGGACAGTGGAGGGTGCAGCGGTGGTGGGGACAGTGGTGAGGGCGGTGGCGAGGACGGCGGTGCGGTAATGGGACAGAGGTACAGTGGGGACAGTGGTGGGGACAGTGGGGACAGTGGTGGGAACAGTGGGGCAGCGGCGGGGACAGTGGGACACTGGGACAGTGGGGACACTGGGACAGTGGTGGGGGCCGTGAAGAAAGTGGGGAGAGTGGAACCGTGGTGGGAGCAGTGGGGACAGTGCGACAGTGGTGGGGGCACTGGTGGGGACAGTGGGGACGGTGTTGGGAACACTGGGGGCAGTGGTGGTGAGGACAGTGGTGCTGGGGACAGCAGTGGGGGATCTGGTGCGGACGGTGGTAGGGACCCAGGAGTCGTTTGCTGGCGGTGAGCTTTGGAGGGGGGGAGGGGTTCGAACCGGTGGTGACCCCCCCCCGGTTTTCGAGGGGGGGGGTTCGAACCGGTAGTGACCCCCCCAGTTTTCGAGGGGGGGGGGGGTTCGAACAGGTAGTGACCCCCCCGGTTTTCGAGGGGGGGGGGTTCGAACCGGTAGTGACCCCTCAGTTTTCGAGGGGGAGGGGTTCGAACTGGCAGTGACCCCCCCCGGCTTTCCGGAGGGGGGGGGGTTCGAACCGCTAGGGACCCCCCCCCTGGTTTTCCGGAGGGGGGGGGGTTAAAGGAGGGGAGGGGTTTTGCCTGGGGGGGGATTTTCGGAGGGGGTGGGGGACCCCCGGGTTCCGGAGGAAGGGGGGGGGAATCTTCCATTGTAAACCGGCGGTGGATCACGCTCTCTTTCATTTCCTAAGGACTCGAAGACTCTTCTCCAGTCGACTTGCGGAGATGGCGCCAGCACTGGTTGCAAGTCGACGTAGTGCGACGTACGGTTCCAGAACTTTGGCTTAACGTGTCGCTCACCTGGTTTTGGCCCACCACGGTTCGGCGCGACACGCTGTCCACGACTCCACTCCCAATCGTCAGCGTCCCGAGCTGTTCTCGGCCTCCTGTCCCGCGCAGCGGAGCGACGCGTTATCTGCTCGCCGGGCACTCATGAGCAAGGGTTCCCGATCCTAAGCCCAGATGGATCGAAGTGGTATCCAGAGGACCCAGGAGACATTCGGACAAGTCGTGGCACATCTAGCGCGAGTCGCGGGATGTCGCGGGACCGCAGCAGCCGTTGAGCCCTTGGCGAGCCATGGCGGGGTCAGCGAGGGCCGAGTTGGGCGCGGCGCTGGCGCTGCCCTCGTCCAGCGGCGCGTGCCCGCAGGCCCTTGTCCCAGACGAGGTGCAGCGCCACAGCGGGCTTGGCCAGAGCTATCCGCTGGTTGCCGAGGGCGAGGAGGAAGCGCTGGCGCTGCCCTCCTCCAGCGACGCGAGCCCGCAGCCGCTGGTCCTGGACGAGGTGGAGCGCCACAACAAGCTGGGCCGGCGCTGCTCGCTGGTTGCCGGAAGTTCGGAGGTTGCCAGAGGCGGCCCTGGCCAAAGGTGCCTTTGGCCTTTCCGCGCCCCTCTGGGCCTCGCGAGGGCCGTTCTGAAAGCCATACCCGGCCCTCCTGGAAAGACAGGGGCCACCTCTGGCAAGAGCAACGTCCGGCCCCCCCCCGAGTAAGCGTTGGCGGCCGCGCGGGAGTGCGCGCGGAGGTCGTGTTCCAGGCCTGCGAGGGCCGCGTGTCCGAGGACGAGCTGGCACGGCTCGCCAGGCTTCTGCCCGTCGGCGGGGCGCTCACGCGGGGTCAGTTCGACTACACGCTGCGCTGTGTGGTGGGCCACCGGGAGCCGCTGCCCAGCCGCGCGGGCTCAGCGGTGTTCCAGGCGGTGGGGCTTCTTGCAGTCGAGCGCCGTCCCCGGCAGGGGTTGGGCGCGGGCGTCGTGGACGCCGTGGGCGCGCCGCCGCCGCCGCCGCCCGGGCCCTGGCCGCGCCCGGCCGTGCCACTGGAGGGCTCCGCTGCGCACGCGCTCGAGAGCCTCGCCGCGAAAGCGGAGCGCCATCGCCTCTTCGCAGACTGGCTGCTGTGCGAGTTCGGCGGCGCCGAGGGGCTGACTAGAGGCGATCGGGGCCAGGAGGGCGGCTTCGTGCTGGAGGTGGCGGGAGGCCGCGGCAGGCTGGCGGAAGAGCTGTCGGCGAGGGGCGTCCCTGTGACCGTCGTGGACCCCAGGTGTGGCCCTGGGGAGGGTGCCCGGACGCACGCGGTCCCCGTGCACTTCGTCCGAGCAGCGTTCGATGGCGACTGCGCGGTGCGCTTGGCCGAGGGGGCCTCCGCGGTCGTGGCGATGCACCCCGACGAGGCCACCGAGGCGTCCATCGACGCCGCCCTGGCCGCCGCGCTGCCCTTCGCGGTGGTGCCGTGCTGCGTGTTCCCGCGGCTTTTCCCCGCGAGGCGGCTCCGCGGCGGGCAGGGTGTCAGTGGCTACGCGGGCCTGCTGCGCTACCTGCGGGAGAAGGAGCCGCGGATTCGTGCGGCGCGCCTGCAGTTCGAGGTCGGCACCACGCATCCGAGGCCGGAATTTATACATGATCACCGCCTGGAGGATCAGTTTTCGAGGGTGGATATGAATATATTCGGGCCTGGGGGGCCAAAGTATATCCATATCCGCCGCCCGCTGGGGCACCAGGACGTCGGTTCCCAGGCGGTGGATATGGATAAATCTCCGCCTTTCAACCCAAGCATGCTTCTAGGCCTCTTAGATGGGGTCCGAGTAGATGGGTCTGGGGGATCGCGCCGCATCGCTGGTGCATCGCCGATGCGGCTCGATGTGGAGACCGTGTTTCCCCACGCCGGCGCCGCCGATGCCCCGCCGATGCAGCGCCGATGCATTGGCGATGCGGCGCGATCCTTCGACCCCATCGTCTCGGACCCCATCTAGGAGGCCTCTAATTCTTGTGCCTTGCAGCCTTGGTTCCGGCGAGCAGGAGGGGCGGGGGTCGAGGTTCGAGGTGCGAGAGGGTTTCTGCCTGTCTCGGCCCCTAGGGGGGCAGTTCTCGGGGCCCGGGACCGTCAGAAACGCACCCGGGGTGAGACACCGCGCCAGAGGGGCCCTGGGGAGGGCTTCGGGGACCGATTTTGAGCGGGTTTGCTGTTCTTCCCTCCCCGCCCTTGACCGGTTTCATTGTCGGGGGTGGACAGAACCCCCACCAGTGACACGTCGATTAGTGAATTGTCCGTTTTCGGTTCTCGAGATGGCGCCGTGGCCGTTATTTTCCAGGCTTGCGCCCGCCAGGTTTGGGCCTCAGGTCGTTTTCACGAAACCACGTTTTACGAAAGGGGGGTCTGTCCATCCCCGATATTGGGGCCCGCATCCGGCATAGGCCCCCCCCCGCCGCCTCCAGCTTGTGCCCAGTGCGCGTCGGCCCCGCAGGGGCGGCGCGCCCGCTCGGACACCTCATGTGGCGCAGGCTCCGCGGCGGGCGCCCTCGGGCCGTGCCGCTCGGGGGGCGACCCGCCGTGAGGAGGCTCGTGCGCGCCAGCTGCTCGTGTCGAGGGTTAAGTCGGGCCTGTCCTCCTACAGGGGGGTTTTCGACGAGTAAACAAAATACCCCCAAAAAATAGTCCCAAAATAGTCAAAATTATCCCAGTGCGACCCTACCTAGGAGTTGGAACCCCTAGGAAAGCAGCATTAGTAGTAACAGTAATGCTAAGCTAAAGCTAAGCTAAAGCTAAGCTAAAGCTAAGCTAAAGCTGAGCTAAAGCTAAGCTAAAGCTGAGCAACAGCTAAGCTAAAGCTAAGCTAAAGCTAAGCTAAAGCTAAGCTAAAGCTAAGCTAAAGCTAAAGCTAAAACTAAGCTAAAGCTAAAGCTAA